TTTAGAGTAGTCTATAAACAATACTGATATTTTGGCGTTTGTTGATTACATTATGTAGTTATCAGTTGGATTTATATTCAGTTATGCACGTAATTTCAATATTTATAAGGATTGTTAAGGCAAAAAATGTTAATTTTATAATATCCTTTAAAATTGTTTAACAATTTAACAAACAACGGTAAAAAGCGAATATAGGACACCGTAGTTAAAAGTATAATTACATATGGGTGTGAAGTGTGGCAATTGAAAGAAAAAAACAAAACGAATGCTAGAAGCTACTGAAATGGATTTCTGGTAAAGATCTGTGGGAAGATCAAAACTGGAATGAGTGACAAATGAAAGAATAAGAGAAATAATGCAAGTCACACACACATTAGTTGATGAAATTAAAACCAAACAACTTGTCTGTTCAACGTTCAAAGAATGCGTGAGACCCGAATTCCACAAGAAGAAGAAGAAGACTCAGAAAAAGCTGATAGGAAGGAATAGACAAGGATATGGAAGAACACCCTGGAGACGAGTTGTGGAGAGACAGAGAAGCATGAAGAGTATTCAGGGAAGGAAACCTTAAAAGTCTATAAAAACTAAAATGGAGACGTTTTTTAATTTTTATTTTACGGGTTGTGACAAATAAAATGTTTAGAGTAGTCTATAAACAATACTGATATTTTGGCGTTTGTTGATTACATTATGTAGTTATCAGTTGGATTTATATTCAGTTATGCACGTAATTTCAATATTTATAAGGATTGTTAAGGCAAAAAATGTTAATTTTATAATATCCTTTAAAATTGTTTAACAATTTAACAAACAACGGTAAAAAGCGAATATAGGACACCGTAGTTAAAAGTATAATTACATATGGGTGTGAAGTGTGGCAATTGAAAGAAAAAAACAAAACGAATGCTAGAAGCTACTGAAATGGATTTCTGGTAAAGATCTGTGGGAAGATCAAAACTGGAATGAGTGACAAATGAAAGAATAAGAGAAATAATGCAAGTCACACACACAATAGTTGATGAAATTAAAACCAAACAACTTGTCTGTTCAACGTTCAAAGAATGCGTGAGACCCGAATTCCACAAGAAGAAGAAGAAGACTCAGAAAAAGCTGATAGGAAGGAATAGACAAGGATATGGAAGAACACCCTGGAGACGAGTTGTGGAGAGACAGAGAAGCATGAAGAGATGGCATTAAAAGACGTAGAACGTTATAGGTTGATTATATAAAATTGTTTAAAATACAAACAACTTCATTTTATAACATTTTGCTTTTTATACATATATTTATTAAATAGAAATGAATTCAGCGTGTTATCTGCTATTCCATCGTTATAAAACCCTTAATTCTAAAACGGAAATATTGTCTGGTTTTTAAACCAAACAGATGGTACATGTAGTATTAACAAAAATTACATGGGGTGAATATAATTAACATTTTTCGAGTGCAATTGTAGAACCCACATATTTGCGGGTGAGGTTTTGGAGTTTTATCTATACAAGATATGTATAATACAGGGTGCCCGTATAAGCGATTCCCTATTCTAATTATGGTAAATATTTTGCAAATTTAGATCCACGATAAGTTGCCAACAAATATGTGAATTGGTAAATAACAAGTGTTATAGAATATGAGAAAACTCTTAATTATAATTAAAAGGTCATTAAAATTTAATTGAAATCTATATAGGGTAACTAGCACATTAGGGTTGTAACAATGTATAATCATATGCTATTAAGTGATTAATCTCGAGTTTTCGCTAAAAAATGTGCTAAAAGGGAGCAATTTTAATACTTTTAGATTGGTCTGCCCTTTCCACTTTTTCAAAAAGTTATAAAAAGCCGAGTACTGCAGATTAATTTAGTAAAATAATCCTTAGAAAGTGTCGGTATTACTATTATAAAAATGAAAGTAAAGTTTCCGGTTCCAGAAAGTTCAAAATCCAGCGCGAAGATTATTTCGCACTTTAAAAAGTCACCAAAAGGAAAGATGTTTGCAGAAGTGTTAAACTCTTCTCTGGAGTTAATTGAGGGGGACATCCGTCATCACCAACCTATGAAATATAAAGAATTCGAAGAGCATGTCACAATATCTTCGACTCCAAACGAGAGCAAATATGAAAACATTTCATCGGAAAGCGAAGATGAAGGTGATACCTGTTTAGAAGAAAAAAAAATAGAAAATATCATTCAAGAAGGGGACTTTGATGAAAGCATGGAAGAATGTGTATTGCCTGGTCAAAGTAATGCAGATAAAATAGACCTTAACACGACGACTAATTTTGATACAATCGACAAAAATGTGCAAAGCCAAGATGAGGAATATAATGTGCTTGTTAAAAACTTTGTTGGTGAAAATAAGCGTTTCTTGGAAAGCCAAGAAATTCATAGACAAGTATTAATTAAAAAAATCAGTGCGTATGAAAGGAAACGCGATAGAGCTCTACAGAGCTTAACTAGTGTCAACAAGAACATTGCAATCTGTAATCAAATTCTAACGTCTATTTACACATGCAAACCAGTGGAATAATGTTTAAAAGTGTAAAAATTTCATAAAATCATAATATAATCTGTTTCGGGGTGACAAATTGTGTTCAATGCAAGCAATCTAGTGTGCAAAGCTAGGATGAAGAATATAATGTGCTTATTAAAAACTTTGTTAGTGAAAAACAATCATTTTTGGATAGCCATGAAGTTCACTATAAAATAGTTTAAAAAACATTCAAACTTGTGCTATTGGAATATAATTTCATTTTTAATTGTTATATCTTGTTCTAAAGTGTTTGTCGAATGTTAAATTATATAAAATTAATAAATTAATACTATTAATTTTATATAGTCAAACAAAATATTCTAAAAATACAAAGTTTTACTTTTATTTTTAAAATATTAACACTGACAGTTTCTAAGGATTATTGTACTAAAATAAAAAATTTTATAACATTTTTGGTTTTTTATTTCATTTCCAAAATACGTAGGTAAAAATCAGTACAAAATTTTATATATAGGTACCTATATATATATATATATATATATATATATATATATATATATATATATATATATATATATATATATATATATATATATATATATATATATAATTTCATGTTGGTTTATTTATTTAAAATAATGACTATTACCTCTAAAAGCAAAATATTATACTTTCTTTTTGCGATGTATAATAGATAAAAAAAACATACTTTCTTAAAAATATGTATTCCAAAATAAATAATCACACACCTAACATATTATATATAATTTCATATTCGTTTATTTATTTAAAAGATATGACTATTTCCTCTAAAAGCAAAATATTATACTTTCTTTTTTGTGATGTTTAATAGATAAGAAAAAAAAACATACCTTTTTAAAAATATGTAATCCAAAATAAATCACACACCTTAAACACAAACATTGCACCAAGCTAATATCAAATAACATAAACACTTTAAGCGTCTATATTCTTAACTAGTAAATATATTCAAAATAATATCTTTCTCGGATCACAGATACACACACAAACTGACCGCGTTTGACCCACATACCTTAGGGAACTGCACGTCGAAAAGGCAGCACCAGGTAGGTACCTCTTTTGTATTTTCGTTTCAAGTTCACTTAACCATTGACGGAGTTAAGTTTATTATAACCAAAAAATAAATTAAATAAATTTAAAAAATTATTTGCCGCTTTATTTATTAAAACTAAGAAAAAATATTTTGGATTCTTATTTCGCAAATACAGGTGTAGTCAAAACTTGAAAAAAAATGTTTACCTAATCATTTTAAATAAAGGTAGTAAACCCCATCTACAGAAATTTTGTTAAAACAATATATTCTCATATATTACTAATTTGAAAAAAAAATAACCAATTCAAAAATATATAATTCATTTTTTTAAAATTAAATACAAAAGTGCTAATTTTTTTACTAGCAGGTAAATAACATATTCCCACCGCTGTATTTATGAAAACTAATAAAAGATAAATATTATATATAAAAGAGCCTAAAAAAAAGACACAAAGTTTTTAAAATGGTGTATTTATTGTTATAGATTTGCAAACAATGCAGTATTTTGATAAGCAGTAAATGTATAAATTTTTATTACAAGTCGCACAAATACGTGCACTCAGATTATCCGCAGTTCCACTAGAATGTTCCGTTATATGATTCGTGTGAATATATGTTGGTACTCCCCTAAGAGTTTCAAAAAAACACGATGGACAAAGACTTTGATTGTGTATAATATAATAATGTTGAGTCAAACAAACTGGCTCTCTACATTCGTATGCCAAAAAGCGCACATTATTGACCTCATCCACTTGCATAATTTTGTTGTCCACTTCGGCGGAATCAGTATCTATCACTTCAATTTCATCCAAATCTGATAGATTTTCCGTAGATACCGAAAAAACAAAACTTTCATCCGTGGAGACATTGTCACTGTCTTCTAATTCAAGTATGGCATCCAAAGGGTTTATAACTTCTTCATCCATAGCTTGGTATTCGTTTTCTAACACCATTTTAATTCACAAAAAATACAAGTGTATCATTTTATATATTTTCAAGTAGTGGAGATAGGTGGGTTCTGTATGTATTGGAGGGGGGTGTTATAATTATCTGCTTCTCACATCTAAAATAGAGCTAAAGGGTGAACTATATCAACATTTTGGTGTCTAGAGACAACATTTGGTCAACAATGAATAATTAGAACCATGAAATAATTATAATTAATTAATTACTAAACAAGGGTCAATTAAATAAGCCCCTGAACATGTGGGTGTCTAGAAAACATCTGGTCTATTTAAGATTAATGATTAATTGCTAAAAATTGGGGTGAACGACACGCAATAGTCTAGACAACATCAGTTCTACTCAAGATCAATGACCAATGTCTGAAAATAGCATGGTGGGGGTAACATTCTCATAATATCATTATACTATTTAAGGCAAATAAGCGGAACTCCTCAGTAGTTTATCGAGAATCATGAATACGTGTACTATGTGTAATAAATCGTTTTCGCGCTCAGATAACCTCTCCCGACACAGGAAAACATGTAAATACAGAAATGTGAATAGTGATAGTGAGCATAATGGGGATTATTATATTCCCAAAAAAAGATTAAGACCACTTGGATTGGAAGTGATAGATGCCAGTGTTTCCAAATTAACACATGCGTTTAAAAACAGAATCGCATCTTATCGTTTTTATAGTAATAAGAAAATGGATTATCATGGATTTTTAAATGATGTTAAACCCAAAGTTTTGAACATCTTGAAGGAATATCTACATCTGCACAATATCATAAAGGTAAATTTTGAAATATTTAGTCTTTATCTAAAACCTGATAGTAGCCTATCAGATATCAAGTCCATGAACACGTGCAATACAATTATATCTATTAGCACTGAGATGGAAGAAACATTTGATGATTTTAAGAAAGCACTGATGACGCAAGCCTCAGAATTTCAAGAAAAAGATTCAAATTGGGCATTACAGGAAATAATGTTTTTAGATGTTAACATAAACAAATTTAACTCTATTTCTGCATCAACATATATTCGTCTCCCAATACCCATAGTAAGAAAACATGCTATTTTAAATATCGAAAACAGAGATAATAAGTGTTTTGCGTGGAGTGTTAACGCAGCTATTTTTCCTCCCGTTGGCAACCCAAGCAAACCAGAATCATATCCACCGTATGATACTTTGTTAAATTTTGAAGGGATTGACTTTCCGATGAAACTGAAAGATATTAAACAGTTTGAGACCCTTAATAATATTTCAGTAAATGTTTATGGGCTAGAATCCAATTTCGTAAATAATAAAAGGCAATATGAAATAATTGGCCCACTTTACTTTACAAGTAATCGTCATGCCACTCATGTAAACCTTTTGCTTATAACAAATGATAAACAAAGTCATTATTGTCTGATTCTAGACTTGGTCAGACTTGTAAAAAGTCAAAAAACAAAAAAGACTCGCAAAGAATATTTATGTGATGGATGTCTACAATTCTTTACCAAAGAAGAAAAGCTCAATAATCACCAAAAGAGCGACTGTTTACATATTTACACAGAACTTCCCACATCAAGTCCTAAGATAAATAAGTTTGGCGAAATGGTGCCAGAAAATATACTAAAATTTATCAACATTCAAAAAATGTTGCCTGTACCATTTGTTGTGTATGCGGACTTTGAAAGTTTGCTTAAGCCCATAGATTATGCTGAACCTTTTAATGGAAACTCATATTCAATCAAAACAGCTGAACACCAAGCATATTCGTTTGCATTTTACCTTAAATGCAACTATGATGATTCACTTTCAAAACTAATAAAATATGAAGGAGAGGATGCTCCCAAAGTATTTATACAGAAACTAGAGTGTTTAGTAAATGAACTATACACGAATCACCTTAAACATATTAAACCAATGTTACCGTTAACAAAAGAAGAATTTGAAAAACATGTGAGCGCTACTGAATGTTACTTGTGTAAAAAACCCTTTAATCCTTTTAATCATAAAGTAAGAGATCATCATCATTTAACTTCAAAATATCTTGGGCCAGCTCATAATTCCTGTAATATAAATTACAAACTCTCAAATTCAATACCTGTATTTTTACACAATATGAGCAATTATGACTGTCATCTATTTGTTAAAGAGCTTTCAACAGCTGGTGAAAAAGTTTCAGTAGTTGCCCAGACCAAAGAAAAATATATAACAATTTCTAAATCAATATTGGTAGAAAAGGACCCACACAAATATATTTATTTGAAATTTGTTGATTCATACAGATTTTTGGCGAAATCTTTAGATACTCTGAGCGCAACTTTAAACTCAGAGCAATGTATAGAAATTAGAAAGTATTTCCCAGATACTAAACAATTTGAACTTGTGAGACGCAAGGGTGTTTTTCCTTATTCATATATGGATGGATTTGACAAACTCAAAGAAAAAACACTACCGCCCAAAGAAAATTTTTACAATAATCTAACTAACCAAGACATTTCTGATGACGATTATGCAAGAGCAATTGATGTATGGAACACATTTGATTGTAAATCTATTAGTGACTATGCTATGTTGTACCTAATCTCAGATGTCTTATTATTAGCTGACGTGTTTGAGAACTTTAGAAACATATGTCACAAAGAATACAATTTAGATCCTTGTCACTACCTAACAGCTCCTGCACTAAGTTGGGATGCCATGTTAAGATACACCAAAATTGAACTGGAGCTTCTTACCGACATTGACATGGTACACTTTTTAAAGAAAGGAGTACGAGGAGGTGTGGCACAATGTTGTAAAAGAGAAGCAGTGGCAAATAATCATTATGTACCCAACTTTGATCCTCAACAACCCGAGTCTTACATCATGTATCTAGATGCCACAAATTTATATGGTGCTGCCATGTGTCAATATCTTCCATATGGACATTTCAAATGGGTAACGGATGTTGAAAACTTTAACTGTTTTTCGGTGAAAGATGATGCGGATAAAGGGTATGTGTTGGAAGTAGATTTGGAATATCCAGCTCATTTACATTCTGCACATAATGATATGCCATTCTGCCCCGAAAGCATGGTACCACCAGGAAGCAAATATCCTAAACTTATACCAAATCTCAACAATAAAACTAAATACGTCATTCATTATCGCAATCTTAAACAGTGTCTTAAGTATGGTCTGGTACTAAAAAGGATTCATCGTATACTAGAGTTTTCGCAATCACCATGGCTAAAAAAATATATTGACCTAAACACATCACTTAGAAACAAAGCCAAAAACGAGTTTGAGCGGGATCTCTTTAAATTGCTAAATAATGCGATATTCGGAAAAACTTTAGAGAATCTCGAAAAAAGAAAGGATATCCGCCTTTGTACTCGGTGGGAAACCAAAACAAATTCGTTGGGAGCCAGGGCACTTATCTCGAAACCAGAATTCAAGTCTTGTTCTGTGTTTAATGAAAATTTGGTTGCGGTTCATTTGGGTAAAACCAAAATAGTTTACGATAAGCCTCTCTATGTTGGATTTACAATTTTAGATTTATCAAAAATTGTGATATATGATTTTTACTATGGATACATCAAAAAGAAGTATGGAGAAGCTGCAAACTTGTTATACACAGACACAGACTCCTTGATTATGGAGATATATACCCCCAATTTCTATGCGGATATGAAAAGAAATTTAGAACATTTCGACACCTCCAACTATCCGACTTATAATATTCACGGGATACCGAAAACCCCTTCAATATTAGGAAAAATGAAAGATGAATTTGCATCTATACCCATTAAATGTTTTTATGGTACAGGTGCTAAAGCTTATTGTATAGAAGCAAATGAACTAATAAAAAAAGCAAAAGGCATTTCAAAACACATAACCAAAACACAACTGCAAATGAGTGATTACGTTCTGTTAGTAAAAAAAGGTGGTGTAATATTTAGAAAAATGTATGTATTTGTGTCTAATTTACACACCATATATACAGAACTTAGAAATAAAGTTGCACTATCTGCTAAGGATGACAAACGCTATGTTATAAACGGTGACGTAAAAACACTTGCGTGGGGGCATTTTTTAATCACTTCACATAATGGTAATATAGATGACCTTATAACATTTGGGAATAAGCTGCTAGACGCTCCGGCATTATCCGATTTAGAAAATATTCCTTTGGATGAACTTTTTAAAGTCAATTCCTTTCAATATGATTCATATTTGTAAATTTTGTATAATAATTGTATATTTGTATGTATCAATAAAACACATGTATATAAACAAATCTTTTTATTTAAAATCTTAAAAAATTCTATTAATACCACAAGTATAGAAAAAGTAGAACAAATAGCTATATAATAAAATATTGGAGATATAACTTTATCCTTTTTAAATCTTTCATTATAAAGTTCTAACCATTTGGAGTCACTGCTTCTACCACTCATATGTCTAAAACGCAATTTATATTTAGTGCTGTTTAGTGGTATTTCAGCTTGTAAAGTTGGTAAAAAATGGTTTCCCGGATATGATTCCATTCTTGACCATGTCTCAGGCCATGTTTCATTTAGTGTACCATTACTGTCGAAGCACACAAAAACTTCCCTAACATTGATTGGTTGCTGGATTAAAAGCAGATTTCCCAGAATTGCTTGTAAAACAATAAAGTCTAATGATACCATTTTAATAATCTCTACCAAGGTTTTAACATCTATTTATAGTAAATCTAACACAGGCCGTGGGGAGTCCCATTTATGTGGTGGAGATTCCAATAACCCATCACGATATCCTACGTTTCGATGAGATAATCCCATGGGTCTAGTTTCACTACAAAATGTGCAAAATTCAAATACCAATTTCCACCCTTTAAATATTAAATTTCTTGGAATAAGTCTAGTTCCAGACATTTTACGACAAATAAGGCACAGCTTTTGTCGTACAATATAAAAAGAGAGTGTCGGAAATATATCCCACTCGTCACCACTAGGTTGACTATCCAAATTATCACAATATTTATACGACATGTTTCTCTTGTTTCTTATATTTTGAACACAAAACTATACTATAAGTATGCTAATTATTTGAGTGGGGAACTTGCGATGCGTGGGGGATGTGGTACAATCTAGTGTTACTATATCATTAGGAGTGGGGGTCTGCAAGTCACTCAGAGTAGAGGGATATAAGAGTTTTGAAAGCTCGTTAATGTGAACAGTATGCGCTCAAAAAAGTTTCGTGAACGAGTCGATCAGTTTCGTGCAGATATTAAAAGAATAAAACGCGATATTTTATTTTACGAAAAAACAAGAAATGTTAAAAAGTTACATAAAATTATTAACCAGTTAAAAAGGGAATATCAAAATAAACTTTGTATGTTTAAAAACTTTTCAAGACTTAGTATAAGTGATGCGCTTGCGTAGTGGAAAAGTTTATTCACCGGAAGAAGAAAATAGACTATTTTTCATTTCTACAGTCGAGGAGCAAAAGTGGATAGACTTGGTGTTTAAAAACATTAACCGTTTTAACAATAATGGAATGTTGTCCGAAAAGAATTGTGATGAATCAGCATCCACAAAAACCGTTGTACATGTTTACAAAAACAGAATTGGAAAGCTTTACGATACCGTACATTAGAAAATGTATTGACCCATTGGAACTATTAAAGGCTTGGTATCTACTACCCGAGAAATTTGTACAGGATTTCGAAATTCGAGCTCGACTTCCATGTTTTGTACACTTCAATCGTCCCGAATGGAGAACAGAGCTAGAAGGATTCGCCCCTGCTCAATCCAGTTGTCGTTTATGCAGGTTTGCGCTTGAAAATTTAACTAACACTTATATCGTTTGAATGTAGTAATTATTTAATAAAGTATTATTTTTTAATAAGGTATTTTTATTACTTAAATAAAACATTAGGTAAGAAAAAATCTTTATTGCATAATAAAATTGTTGTATAAGTTAAATACATTAGATAGTGCACATACACCAATATTATTTAAATGGTAAGGACATGTAGGTTCCATTTTCTCCAAAGCTGGATGTTCATCAAATTCCATTACTGGTGCCAAACTATACTTTTTTATATACTGAGCTTTTTCTTTTCCTTTAACATAAACGATATTAACATTACTTGTCAAGTATTGGATAATATCACGAACTTGATGTAGTGGGGTAAATCCATTATTCCAGTTAAGACCATGATAATTATTCATTAACCATACAGCTTGTTTATGGAACTCTGGATTTAACAACCTCATTGGATATGGTGGTTTGAAAAAATAATGACTAATTTTTTTGCCATCATAGAATGCCAGCTCTTTTGCGATAAATTTATTTTTTTCGATATTAAAACCTTGCACATCTACTATTAGACACATTTTAAAGAGTGTGTTAATGCGGTATCTAACTTGTATTTATAAAACAATTTTTAGTCATGCGCATGAGACTCACATATAATACTATAGATACATACCATTTCTCCTCATACATTATGAACATCTCCCCTCATGCGGGAAGTTTCATTAGGTCCAGTCTCAACACATGCCCCGGTATAAAAATATAATAAAAAAGCACACCTGTCAAGCATAATAATATCGATTTATAATTGTTTTACTATTTTAGTTAAGGCATTATATGTAAATTCTTTCTCGTGTAATATTAGACAATAAGCCGAGATATCAGAGGTTGTTGGCTCATCTGTCTCAAACTCTATACGTAACACGACTGATCCCGATTGAATTATTTCTTTTTGGCGAGAGCAGTCAATATGTATGAGTGGAGCAATCATTTTAAAGTCATGAGGATTAAATATGGGTTGATTCAGCACCATGTGATAATAACTTTCTTGGAAATTGCCAAACATTTCATAAAGTTTCGCAAATCTATTTGTTTTAAAATCTAATTGTAGGTCATTATAGGGATATCTTTCAGAATTTAAAAATACTTTAATATTTTTTAAAGTGCAATGATCAAATTTACTCATATCTTTTGTCAATTTGGATTTTCTGTTATTTTGGAAAGCAACAATAATGTGACGAGGTGTTTCTATTTTTGTACTAGTCCTCACCGACCATGTATGGCGAGTAGAGTTGTTTAGAGCAGGATATTCAATCATTTGCCAAGAACGAAATTTAATAGGTAATTCTTGATTTGTATGTGAAATCTTGTTAAGTCGTATCTGTTCTCGTATACTTGGTGTTACATGTGGTACCTCCCAATATAATTTACTAATATCAATTTTTGGTCGTTCGGTTTCATCTATGCTTACTACAGCATCAATATCATCATTTGATCTAATAAGTATTAATTCCTGTTTCATGTTCATAATAATTTTCTTAAAATCTTCAAAGAACCCTGATAGGAGTCTTAGAGGTATGCATACGTTAAAGTGTCCATTTGAATCCACCAACACGCTGTTTTTGGGGACTTCATTATTGGTTTCCATTCTATTCATTTTTGGAAACCAACCCGCGTTTTCCAATTGCAGGCTTTGATTTTCGTTGAGACTCAGGTAGTTTTTAATACTTGATACCAATCCTACATCACGTACTGAGTCAATTACTACTCCATTTAATTCATAACGTAGTTCGCGAAACATGTAAGCTATACTGTTATTAATAAATTTTAGTTTTGTTGGTGTGTGATTATCATGTGTGAGTAAGCGTCCTTCGATATAAAGATAACTATTGGCTGGATATGTAAATGCATCTAAATCTTGAATAGGAATACGTATTTCATCATTATAACCCAACTTCCCAGGAATGTATGGTTGATATGTGTGAAACTGATATTCTTCAATGGTGTTGTCATTAAAAGGTTGACCAGTAACATGAAGAATTTCCATTATACCAAGACTTTAAATCCTAGCGATTGTAAGAAGCGACGATTAGATGATGTTATTATTTTAGAAGGAGATCTCCTTATATATGTTTTTGGTAGGTGAGAAAAAACTAGAACCATTATATACGTTTTCGAAGATGTAGATTTACAGTTACTTCTTCTCCTCCAAAGTCAATAAGTTTACCTGCTTGGTTAATAATTTTTATTGTAAGGTTGGTAATTGTCTTGATGCCAACTGGATAATACAAAATATTTTGAGGAGCGTCCACTATTTTATACCCAATCGGTACCAATGGAAAAAAATTATGAATGAAATGGACAGGGTTTCCATTTAAATAGCATCCTGAAGCGATGTTACAATCAACACACAGAGTGTTTGCTCCCCATATTTCCACCGGTTTATCTGAAACATGTGTTTGGTTTGGAGCTAGTAGTCGTGATTTAAAACCAAATAATACCCCGATAGAATTCATTGGGAGAAATGATATTTCTCTGTTACTCTTAATAACAACTTTAGAAGTTGATAATTGTGGAGTAATTTCTAAAGTCGCATCATTATCAATCTTTTTCATATTTTTTTGAATAAGGTTTGTAATATCATCTAATTCATAAGAGCCCTTAGGTATTTTGTAGGTATGGGTTAAATTTTTGAATTGCCAAAGAAAAACGTTATTGCTTTCATCAACATTTGGAATAGTATTAAAACTATAAAAACTGGTTAGACCAATTTCATATTCAAATTCATCTTCAAGGTAAATCGGAGGATTAAAATTATAGCTCAGATTTGAAGAGCTTCCAGTAAGCGTAAAGTTTAAAGACATTTTACGTAAACATATTACATTCTTTGCTATTTATAGTAGTTGAATAGAAAATCTAGTGAGTAATGACCGCACTTGTATGAATCGTTTTGGATTTTATCGTAGTTGTAATATATCTGTACATCACCATTACTTAAAAAATATTTGATTACATTTTGTGGCGGGGGTAAGTCTCCATATGAATCAAAGTAAATTACTTGAGATTTAGATTTTGCATAGGCTACCCAGTGTGTCCCCTCACCACTTGTTGAATCTAAATTTATAACACCACACTCGTTTTTATAAATATTTTTAGGTAACATATCTCTCATGAATACACCTCTAAAATATGGTAATGTTTTACCATACTTTATTATATCTGTATTTGTTAAAGCGTGATGAGGGAGGTTTAGTTTTT